GAGTGTATTCCCCTCCAATAAAAGACTGAAATGGTCTTTTCAGACACCTCTCGTTTGACAAGCTCCAGGAAGTCAGGGCAAATGATGGCAGATACTCGGCATCTCATACACCAGCTCTGAGGAATTGGCAGAAGGATTCTGAGCCCTTGTCAGACTGAGCAGAGACCGCTGTTGATTAGCTATGTCTGCCATAGGTAGGAAGTCAGGGCACAGATCTGCTATTGGCCATCTCCAAGGAGCATCCTTCGTGTTTGGCCTATGTAAATGGCGTGCTCTCCCAAGACTGTGTATAGTGGAAGCCTTTGGAGGGTGGCCAAGACAATGGCAGCACATTCTCCAAGAATTCACCCTTCTGGGTCTAGTTGCTCAGAGCTTGTTTCCCAAGCCTGAACTGACAGGAGCCTGCTCACCCCAAGCCCTGTGAATCCTGTTTCCCTGCCCAGCTGGGGACTGTATCCTCACACTCACCTTCTAGCAGAATCTTGAGCTCCTAACTGGGAGCCGTTAGAGAGCACAACCCAAGTTCTCACTCTCACCCAAAACACCATCCATCTCTTCCTTGAGCCCTGTGTGGACGGCTCCTTAGGCAAGAGGGTGGGGAGGATACCGCCAGCCCAGGCCAGCAAGGGCCAGGCTATCACGGACCCAGGAGGAGGAGGCATTAGTCTTGTCTCCCTCACCCTCTCCCCAGGCCCAGCCTCTGCAGGGGCTCCTCCAGGCAGAGCTGGCTCCTCTGAACATCCCTTCCTGTAAAATGCTGCCACCTGGGTTGGGACTGGGCCCAGGTGATGATCAAAGGCCAGTTTAGAGGTCAAGGTCTGAACCTCTGCTTGTGTGGACACTGCTGTCCTGTGTTCCCACAGAAAGGGAGGAGTCTGGGTCTGGGCCACTGTTTCCGAGGCTGCAGCTCAGAGCCCTGTGTTCCAGCCATGCTTCACTGACTCCACCCTGGTCAGCTGGTCCCTTGGCTCACAGAGGTTTGGCGATGCTGCCCAGACGTCTCGCGCTCTGGCTGTCTGTCTTGCTCTTGGGCGGGCTCTGTATTTCTGCTCTGTCCTGCCACGTTCGCCCTTCCGTCCTCACTCAGGGTCTGGGTCTCCCCACCCCGCTCAGAAGGATTCTGTCTTTCTCCCTGCCTCCCTTTGTCTCGGGTTCAGTGTCTCAGGCAAGGAGCTCTGTCCTACGTCAGATCTCTGCTCTGCTTCCCGCTGCTGTGTGGCCTCTCAGAACCTGGTTTCCTGAGCTGGAGCTTGGCTAATGATGAGGGCGAATGTCAAGTACCATAAAAATTCAGCATCTTCAAAACGTCAAGTTGTGCACCTTAAATATATATAACTTTAATTTGTATTATACCTCAAGAAACCTAAAAAAACAACAACAAAAAAGAAAAATCAACATCAGCTACAAACAAGGAAAGGGGTCACATCCACAAACCTAAATGCTGGTGGCCAAGGAAAACGCAGCACATTCAAGGCCAGCCGGAAGGCCCAGCAGGCCGGAGTGTGCCCACTGCTGCCAAGGTCACCTGCGCCAGGCGCCTCAGCGGACAGGGCTGGAATACATGGTGTGCATATGCACAAGCGATACGCATATCTAAGTTTAATTCTGTATCTAGATTGAAATCTGTGAGTTCACATGGATACCTCCAAGCCCAACCCTGAATCAGAGTTCTTTCTAGTTTGCCCTTTCCATATTTCTAACTCCATATCTAAGGTGCAACCCCTATCTCCCATTATTATCCTCAGTTTCTCACTTGATCTTTCCGTGTGCAACTACCTTCCCATGCGCTGCTGGCCTCTCCCCACGCGCAGACGCTGCCGCTGTGCTTGAGCTCTGACACGCCACACGCAGGCAGGACTGTCCCGCACACGGCTGCTGCTCCAGCAAACGCCCCTTACCCAGCTTGGCCTGTGCGGAAGCCAGGCTGCTGCCTGCGTGCACAACCTCCTCACTGTGCCGTGAGTTCCGAGTTCCTCTGCTGCCACGGATGCCTTCTCATCCCACTGGCTGTGACGCCACTACCAGTATGCCTTGTGCCCGTGCGGCCTGCCTCGGCTGCCGGGTCCCTGCCGGTCCCTCGTGCCAGCGCTGCCGCCCTGGGTCCTGGCCTGGCTCTGGCCGCGCTCTTCCCGGCCGCGCCTGCGCTGCGCCGCCAGCCCGGCGCTTTCGGGCTGAGTGACTCAGGGAGGAAAGGGAATGAAGGCGAGGACAAGAGAAATGGTTTCGAATTGAAAAATAGAAACGAGCCATTTGCAGAAGGAAATTCTCACCACTGGCTAAAATTTGCTTCAACGTTTTCACCCCAAATCCAAGGAAACACAACCACAGCGAAACCCCAGAAATTGTCCATGAAAACAAGGATCAAAATGTTCAAGCACAGGCTCATGCTTAGACCTCCCTCTCCCACTGCAAATCCACAGGAATAACAGAAAAGAATACATTAATTAAAAAATCTCTAGTAGCATCTAAAATATAGGAACGGGGCGCGTGTTGGAGTGAATTATGTGGAATCCCTGACAGAGCATATGTGGAAAGGCTGAGAGACAATAAATCGAAGCTCAAAAGGCCTCAGGCAGGTGCGAGAGTGGCCATGCAGTCCCTCCACCTTGCCGCGGCTGGCCCAGGGGAGGGGGACGGGCGGGACACGCACAGGGGCAGCCGCCTCCCTGGCAGAGCCGCGGTGCGTGGCCAGGGAGGGCCTGTGGCCAGGGGTCTGTGACTGGCCTGGGAGGCGTGGCAGGGCCTGGTGCCAGGGACAGCAAGGCCCCGCCCAGAAGGCCACGCACGACATGCCAGCCCTGACAGCCCACCCCACAGAGGAGGAAGACCCAGAAGTTCGTGTGGGCTGGACGCTGCTCTGAGAGTGCAGCGAGTGGAGGGAAGGGAGGCTCAGAGCACTGATGAGAGGGTTCAGCACTGAGGAGAGTTTTTAAGAGATTCATTAGAAAGAACCCAGTTTAAGGCAGTCGACCAGTTGCACCGAGATGATTGAAACAGGTGAACCCAGAACGTGTGGCACAGTCTCAACTACTACAGATAAAATACAGAAACTTTTAAGACCAATTCTTTTTTTTTTTTTTTTTTTGAGACAGAGTCTCACTGTGTTGCCAGGCTAGAGTGAGTGCCATGGTGTCAGCCTAGCTCACAGCAACCTCAACTCCTGGACTCAAGCAATCCTTCTGCCTCAGCCTCCCGAGTAGCTGGACTACAGGCATGCGCCACCATGCCGGCTAATTTTTCTATCTTGATATGAGATAATGTAAATCCTTTACCTTTGTGCTTTTGTATTAAGAATTTCCCAACTGTTCATTCATGTATGAAAATACAGTTGATTTTCGTATGTTACCCTTGTATCTAGAAAATTTTTAGATGCTTTTTAAAATTTTTAAACAGCTTTATTGGGATATAATTCACATACCATACAATTCACCCATTTAATATGTACAATTTAGTGGGTTTTAGTCTACTCGCAGATATGTACAGCCATCACTGTGGATATCTTGCAAGCTTGCTAAATTCTCTTATAAGTTCTAGTAGTTTTTTATTTTTTTGGTAGCTTTTTGGGGAAATTTTTATGTACATAATCATATTGTTTGTGAATAATACAGTTTTGTTTCTTTAAACAAAAATTTTAAGGCATTTTATTTATTGCACTAGCTAGGACCTTTAGCATATGTTAAATGGAAGTGGTAAGAGCACATTTTATTTATTGTATTTACATATCTCTGTTTTTGAAGGATATTTTCTTGGGTGTAGAATTTTAGGATGGCTGGCTCTTTTTCCCCCTTTCCACTTCATTCTTTCTTTCATTTTTTGCCCAGGCTGGACTCAAATTCCTGGGCTCAAGTGATCCTCCCGCCTTGGCCTCCAGAGTAGCTGGGACTGGAGGTGCGGCCACTGCACCTGGCTTCTGTCTTCTTATCTCTCAGTGAGCTGATACCCACCATTTGGGTTGTGAGGAAAATGGAGATTGTCCTTCCAGATAATGAAGCACAAGACCTTCATGACTGTGTGTGAGTGCTGGGAGTAGGGGAAAGGTAAAAAGCTGACTAGTGTTACAACCAAGGCCTGTAACAGCATTATCCTCCTCAAACGACACATGCTACACAGTCTCTGCCACATGCTCCCACTTTCCACACCCGGCAGTGTATTCCTGTCCTCCCCATGCCTCCCGCGTGAACTTCACACTGACGTCCCCAGCCTCAAATGGGCTTTTCCCTACAGCGCCCCACTGGCCTCTCCCACGCTAACCCTACATGTTCCCAGTGCACTCCTCAGTGATCCTGGGCTGTGACTCCGGGGCCCCGGGCCTCACGATGCCAGGTGGGTTGCAGAGGCCAGGGCCAGGCGGAGAGGGCCCTGCCGTGCACAGCCACCCTCATCCATTCGGTTGTGGCCTCGAGGTCCTGAGGGGGACGGAGTAGGCAGGAGTCGCTTAGCAGACCTGAGCTTGAGAGGGGGCCCAGGCTGGCCCTGGGGCGCTCGTGGGGTTCTGTGGGCACTGTGTGGGTGGGTTAGATGCGGGTCAGCAACTCAGCTCTTCTCTGCCAGGTGATCATTGGTAACGATTGGGTGTACACACTTTCCTTCATTCTGTTCACTTACGGGTATGTGTCTAATCATGTTCCCACATAGTTTTGTTCACATAAATGGAATCATAATAATGGTCTGCAGTTTTTCACTTTATAGATACATCTTGGATATGCTTCCTCATCAGTCATATAGATCAAATTCATTATTTTTAAGTTATATAGTATTTTATAGCATAAGTGGACTATAAACCATCAAATCAGTCCCCTAGACTAAGTTATTTCAATTAAATTTTATTACCAAAGACTGACTATTTTAATACAGCTTATATCAATGGGCCAGTATTTCTTGTGTCTTGACTTCAAAGTCAGGGTTTGGCCATTTTTGGCAGAAAAGACTGGGCAGTACTTTTGTCTTTTCCTTGGAGGGGGCTCAACTGTTAAAAGCCATCTGGTGCCTGAGTAATAGCTGCCCTTATGACATCAGCAGGGTCCCTCCGCCATTCCTGCCGTGCCATGGCTGAGGCACACAGACCTGAGGGGACTCGAACCATCTACACCCAATCCATGCGTGACCAATGGTGAGTAGGAAAGAGCTCTCTTTCTTTTTCATGGACACCAAGGACACACTGGGCTTGTCAGAGATGTCCCCATGGATCTCTTGGATGAGGGGCCCTGGCCACTGAAGACTCTGAGGGGCCCTGGAAGCTGGAGATGTGTAGGTTACTGACTGGAGAGGGGGGGGCAGCAGCCTCACTTGCCTTCCCTCTGATGCCGCCTGCAGGAGAAGAAGCAGAAAGAAAGTAAAAATGAACCCCCCAAAAAAGATGAGTCTCAGCCGAAAGACAAGCCTACCTCAGCACCATTAACCCCACAGGCACAGAGAGAGGTAGGAGGAGCCCTGACCCGATGTCACTGATCCTTGTGTCCTAGTGTCTTTGTCATGGTCCTGAGCTAAGAGCAGAAATAAACTCCTTGTTTGTCTTATCCCCCTATTTCCTTCTTAGGATAAAACGTTGGCTCTGTATGAGGCACCGAAAGCGGAGCAGGCTAATAAGAAAGTCATAAAGGTATGACCGCCCAGACGGCACAGGGCTGGGGCTGCAGGGCTGTGTTTGTGGAGTGGAGTGACCAAGATAAGGGAAGCTTGACTTAGTTAGAATTGTGTGTGTGTGTGTGAGAGAGAGAGAGAGAGAGAGAGAGAGAGTGTTTGACCTTGTGCACGTATGTTTGCTTGTAAATTAAGATTTAAAGTATGAAAGTCAAGGAAAGTGAAAACGGGGAAGAAACAAGAGAGGCCAACTTTTATGGGGTGGGGGAAACTTTGATCACTACGACATGACAGAGGGGGAGAGAAGGCTGTGCATGTGAGCTGGAGTCAGGCCTGAGGGGGCAGGGCCAGCAAAGATGCCACTTCTCCAGCAGGTGGGAGGGGACTGAAAGGCAGTCATGGATCCCAGGTAGGTGGCTGGGTCCAGGTGGAACATGGTAACCCTTTGACCCCCAGATCACAGGGTTCTTCCTCTAGACTGGCCAACCAGGCCCATGGAAAACCAGGTGAGGGAGCTAGGGCAGGTGTACCCCCATTTTGCAGATGGGGACATTGAGACTCAGAGGTCAAGGTGAGGTGTCCATGTCCATTAATCTGCAGGTGGCAGGGGTGGGACACTTCCTCATCCCTTGGGTCCAGCTGTCTTGAATTTCAGAAGGGACAATGTGGATAGGGAATCCTATCCACGCCTTTCCTGGAACACCTAGTGCTGAAGTGGGTGGGGAGTATTTTCTGAATGTCCTTCTTTTTTCTTGAAAGTCCCCAGAAACCCGAAAGAAGGTCTCTGACAAAGATACAGCAGCCATAGCGATCCAGGCGTGGTGGCGGGGCACACTGGTACGCCGGGTGCTGCTGCACGCGGCCCTCAGGGCCTGGAGCATCCAGTGCTGGTGGCGGCTGATACTGTCCAAGCTTCTGAGGAAGAGGCGGCGGGCAGTGCTGGAGTCCTTTTCCCGGGAGGAGTGGGCAGCGGTCACTCTGCAGTCCTGGGCCCGCATGTGGCGCGTCCGCCGGCGCTACTGCCAGGTGCTCAACGCCGTCCGCATCATCCAGGCCTACTGGAGGTGCCACTCCTGTGCGTCCCGGGGTCTCATCAAGGGCCAGTACAGAGTCACAGCCAACCAGCTGCAACTCAAGCTGGAGATCTTGCTGGGCTCTGGGCCTTGCATTGTGACGGAGTGTATTCCCCTCCCAATAAAAGACTGAAATGGTCTTTTCCAGACACTCTCTGTTTGACAAGCTCCAGGAAGTCAGGGCAAATGATGGCAGATACTCGGCATCTCATACACCAGCTCTGAGGAATTGGCAGAAGGATTCTGAGCCCCTTGTCCAGACTGAGCAGAGACTGCTGTTGATTAGCTATGTCTGCCATAGGTAGGGAAGTCAGGGGCACAGATCTGCTATTGGCCATCTCCAAGGAGCATCCTTCGTGTTTGGCCTATGTAAATGGCGTGCTCTCCCCAAGACTGTGTATAGTGGAAGCCTTTGGGAGGGTGGCCAAGACAATGGCAGCACATTCTCCAAGAATTCACCCTTCTGGGTCTAGTTGCTCAGAGCTTGTTTTCCCAAGCCCTGAACTGACAGGAGCCTGCTCACCCCAAGCCCTGTGAATCCTGTTTCCCTGCCCAGCTGGGGACTGTATCCTCACACTCACCTTCTAAGGCAGAATCTTGAGCTCCTAACTGGGAGCCGTTAGAGAGCACAACCCAAGTTCTCACTCTCACCCCAAACACCATCCATCTCTTCCCTTGAGCCCCTGTGTGGACGGCTCCTTAGGCAAGAGGGTGGGGAGGAGCATCCACTGCCAGCCCAGGCCCAGCAAGGGCCAGGCTATCACGGACCCAGGAGGAGGAGGCATTAGTCTTGTCTCCCTCACCCTCTCCCCAGGCCCAGCCTCTGCAGGGGCTCCTCCAGGCAGAGCTGGCTCCTCTGAACATCCCTTCCTGTAAAATGCTGCCACCTGGGGTTGGGACTGGGGCCCAGGTGATGATCAAAGGCCAGTTTAGAGGTCAAGGTCTGAACCTCTGCTTGTGTGGACACTGCTGTCCTGTGGTTCCCACAGAAAGGGAGGAGTCTGGGGTCTGGGCCACTGTTTCCGAGGCTGCAGGCTCAGAGCCCTGTGTCCAGCCATGCTTCACTGACTCCACCCTGGTCAGCTGGTCCCTTGGCTCACAGAGGTTTGGCGATGCTGCCCAGACGTCTCGCGCTCTGGCTGTCTGTCTTGCTCTTGGGGCGGGCTCTGTATTTCCTGCTCTGTCCTGCCACGTTCGCCCTTCCGTCTCACTCAGGGTCTGGGTCTCCCCCACCCGCTCAGAAGGATTTCTGTCTTTCTCCCTGCCTCCCTTTGTCTCGGGTTCAGTGTCTCAGGGCAAGGAGCTCTGTCCTACGTCAGATCTCTGGCTCTGCTTCCCGCTGCTGTGTGGCCTCTCAGAACCTGGTTTCCTGAGCTGGGAGCTTGGGCTAATGATGAGGGCGAATGTCAAGTACCATAAAAATTCAGCATCTTCAAAACGTCAAGTTGTGCACCTTAAATATATATAACTTTAATTTGTAAATTATACCTCAAGAAACCTAAAAAAACAACAACAAAAAAAGAAAAATCAACATCAGCTACAAAACAAGGAAAGGGGTCACATCCACAAACCTTAAATGCTGGTGGCCAAGGAAAATGCAGCACATTCCAAGGCCAGCCGGGAAGGCCCAGCAGGGCCGGAGGTGTGCCCACTGCTGCCAAGGTCACCTGCGCCAGGCGCCTCAGCGGACAGGGCTGGGAATACATGGTGTGCATATGCACAAGCGATACGCATATCTAAGTTTAATTCTGTATCTAGATTGAAATCTGTGAGTTCACATGGATACCTCCAAGCCCAACCCTGAATCAGAGTTCTTTCTAGTTTGCTCCTTTCCATATTTCTAACTCCCATATCTAAGGTGCAACCCCTATCTCCCATTATCCTCAGTTTCTCACTTGATCTTTCCCGTGTGCAACTACCTTCCCATGCACTGCTGGCCTCTCCCACGCGCAGACGCTGCCCCGCTGTGCTTGAGCTCTGACACGCCACACGCAGGGCAGGACTGTCCCGCACGGGTCTGCTGCTCCAGCAAACGCCCCTTACCCAGCTTGGCCTGGTGCGGAACGCCAGGCTGCTGCCTGCGTGCACAACCTCCTCACTGTGCGCGAGTTCCGAGTTCCTCTGCTGCCACGGATGCCTTCTCATCCCACTGGCTGTGACGCCACTACCAGTATGCCGTGTGCCCCGTGCGGCCTGCCTCGCGCTGCCGGGTCCCTGCCGGGTCCCTCGTGCCAGCGCTGCCGCCCTGGGTCCTGGCCTGGCTCTGGGCCGCGGCTCTTCCCCGGCCGCGCCTGCGCTGCGCCGCCCAGCCCGGCGCCTTTCGGGCTGAGTGACTCGGGGAGGAAAGGGGAATGAAGGCGAGGACAAGAGAAAATTGAGTTTCGAATTGAAAAATAGAAACGAGCCATTTGCAGAAGGAAATTCTCAGCCACTGGCTAAAATTTGCTTCAACGTTTTCACCCCAAATCTCAAGGAAACACAACCACAGCGAAAACCCAGAAATTGTCCATGAAAACAAGGATCAAAATGTTCAAGCACAGGCTCATGCTTAGACCTCCCTCTCCCACTGCAAATCCACAGGAATAACAGAAAATAAATACATTAATTAAAAAATCTCTAGTAGCATCTAAAATATAGGAACGGGGCCGTTGTTGGAGTGAAATTATGTGGAATCCCTGACAGAGGCATATGTGGAAAGGCTGAGAGACAATAAATCGAAGCTCCAAAAGGCCTCAGGCAGGTGCGAGAGTGGCCATGCAGTCCCTCCACCTTGCCGGCGGCTGGCCCAGGGGAGGAGGGACGGGCGGGACACGCACAGGGGCAGCCGGCCTCCCTGGCAGGCCGGTGCGTTGCCAAGGAGGCTGTGGCATGGGGTCTGTGACTGGCCTGGGGAGGCGTGGCAGGGCTGGTGCCAGGGACAGCAAGGGCCCCGCCAGAGGCCGCACGAATGCCAGCCTGGCAGCCCACCCACAGAGGAAAGACCCAGAAGTTCGGTGTGGGCTGGACGTGTCCTGAGAGTGCAGCGAGTGGAGGAAGGGAGGCTCAGAGCACTGATGAGAGGTCTCAGCACTGAGAGAGTTTTTAAGATTCATTAGAAAGAACCCAGTTTAAGGCAGTCGACCGTTGCACCGAGATGATTGAAAACAGGTGGAACCAAACGTGTGGCACAGTCTCAACTACTACAGTAAAATACAGAACCTTTTAAGACCAATTCTTTTTTTTTTTTTTTTTTGAGACAGAGTCTCACTGTGTTGCCGGCTAGAGTGAGTGCCATGGTGTCAGCCTAGCTCACAGCACCTCAAACTCCTGGACTCAAGCAATCCTTCTGCCTCAGCCTCCGAGTAGCTGGACTACAGGCATGCGCCACATGCCCGGCTAATTTTTCTCTATATATATTAGTTGGCCAATTAATTTCTTCTATTTATAGTAGAGATGAGTCTCGCTCTTGCTCAGGCTGGTTAATCCTGACCTTGAGCTATCCGCCGCCTCAGCCTCCCAGAGTGTAGGATTATAGGTGAGAGTCACCATGCTGGCCTCCAGGCTGTCTTGAACTCTGGAGCTCAAACGATTGCCCGCCTCAGCCACCCAGAGGACTAGGATTACAGGCATGAGTCACCACGCCTGGCCCCAAGACCAACTTTTATTGACCAAGAAGTAAGTTCGGTTGACTTCAGCTTTCTCAGCAGCAACATGGTGCATAAGAGAGGGGAGCCACACCCCCACTGTCTGAAGAAATATTTTTAAGCACAGAATTATAACTCACTGCAAATGTTATCCAGTGTATTCATATCCCCCTGCAGTCCATGAGTAGGGATGTGGCACTCTTCGGTTGGTACAGGGAAACAAAATACAAAGATGAGTACTCAGATAAGCACAGCAAGCTTCGGAGGAAGGCAGAAATCTGACAGCCAAGGAAAGACTTAAGAAGGAAAATTAAAGAGTAAAATTACTATTCATTGATGGAAGAAGCACTAGGTACAAAGGAACAAACTACTACTAAAAAGCACTTATGGACCTTAGAGAGGGATCGCAATTGTCAAAATTAAACCCAAAAGTTGGGACAATAGCAGAAGGACATATAAATGCAGATTAGCAAGTGGAAACTTTGCATCGAAGAATCCTGGATTGCAGCACAGAAGTGGAAAAATGAAAAGGTTAGAGAAGTGAAAGAATGGGGCATTGGTCCGAGGTGTCAGTAATGGCTGAATGTGCATTCCTGAGAGAGGAACTACAGAGATGGAGGCAGAAATGTCCAAAGCCTTGATGATGTAAGAACTGGGCTATAAGGACAATGGACACCTTCCAGCTTTCTGTTTATGCTTGTTTGCTAACCGCAAGGCATTATGAGTACTTATGGATGCAGAGGAAAAAGACAAGAACGCGGAAACCAGAGTCTCTCAGCTAGGACCCGGAACAGGTTGGAGCCTCCAGGGGCAGATGAGTAAGATCACTGTGGGGCGGATGCATGACCAGTGTGTAAACAACTTAGCTATAAAAGTCACTAGCACACAAGGGGGTCACTGCCAAAGAAGAGGCCATGCGCTGGCACTCTGGGGGCTCGGACCTACTCGAGCTAGACAATAAACTCCTTTTGATAATTACAGTCTCGGTGACTCTGTCTCTCTGTCCTGTGGACTGCGATCTCGAATATAACAATGAGTTTCCCAGAGTTTAGAGATTCACTTCCTTTAAAAGGTGAAGGAAAACAGATGGAGCTCCACACAGGTTGCAGCACAGTGATAACTAACTGATGAATATAAAGTTCTTACATATTTAGAGAGGAAAGAAATCAACAAATTACCTCGAGGGAACGTTTCAGATAGACACCAGGTTTCTCAGCAGCAGCACTGGGTGCAAGAAGAAGTGGGAAGCATATTGCTGATGCTCTGAAGGAAAATCAACTTGAGATTGAACGATATACTACCCCAAACATCACCCCGCATAAGGGCAAAGTGAAGGGCACTTTTGTTAACTAAAGACATTTTATTAATTCAAAGTTAAGTCTACACCAAAGTCTCTGAAATATTTCTGGGAAATTAACTCCATGACAAAGAAAAATGAATCCAAGAGAATGACACAAGAGTAGTGATGAATACAGATGCCACCAATATGATTTGTCTTATTCAACAATATTTTCTATTAAAAATAT